GTCTACCTATTAAGTTCCGTATCAGTTACAAAATATTATTACTTACCTATAAGACCCTTAATGGGTTAGCTCCTGTGTACCTAACTAGTCTTCTATCACACTACAATCCATCACTAAGGTAGCAAAACTCTGGACTTTTGGTAGTACCTAGGATAGTAAAGTCCACTAAAGGAGGTAGAGCTTTTTCGCATTTGGCTCCCAAACTCTGGAATAGCCTTCCTGATAACGTTCGGGGTTCAGACACTCTCTCTCTGTTTAAATCTAGATTAAAGACACATCTCTTTGGCCAAGCATTCAAATAATGCATCTCATAATCTTGTACTGCAGTTATATCTGATCAAATGCACATTATTATTCTTTAGTTTGGGTTAAACAAATACATTTTGCTTGGTTGGAACAGCAGCTATGCTAATTGTCTCTATTTGTTTCTCTGTTTCTGCCACGGGATTGACGTGGTAACTAGGATTTACACAAGCTTCAGTCTGGATCCAGATGATGCCAACCGTGAAAAACATACAGAACTACCAAATTTTGCTATAAATTGATTGCATCATATAATAATTGCTGTTAATAGTGTTCATCGTCTCTTTGATTACGTCTTTAATTGATTTTTCCGTACATTTCTGTCATATGTACATTAACTGACAGTGACCACTGATAAACTACTACTAAATATTGTAGAATCTTAATTTTCTGTAAAGTTACTTTGCAACGATTTGTATCGTGAAAAGTACTATACAAATAAACTTGAATTGAATTGAATTTAAGTACGGAGTCTGTTGTTATAATATTGCCCTACAAAGGCAAAAGACCTTAACTCGCTAGAGTGTGAAACTGAGAAAAATTACTTTCAAGTTTTTTATTTGTCCAGCCAAATTAGCCTAAGTATAGGTAGGACTCTGGAAATTTGGCAATTCGAAGTTTTAGTAATAAATGATTAAACTACCTACTAAATTTCCTAACTCTCGCATGCTCTTTAAAACATTTTCCTCCCTCCTTTGTCCTCCTCCTCCCCCTCCTCCCCCTCCTTCATTAACTCTAACCAGTGTTGGGGAATGTTACTTTTAAAAGTAATGCATTACAATATTGCATTACTCCATAAAAATATAACTAATTACGTTACTTAGTTACTTTTTATGGAATGTGTTACGTTACTTTTGCGTTACTTTTTAAATCTAGACAGGGCTTGCTTGTTTGTTTTTCAAATAAAAAGTTATATTTTTGGCAAATATAAAAGCCTTTTCACACCAAAAGTGAAATGAATAAGCCTCAGGCTGAAGGGAAAGTACATTTACATCCGTACAGTAGAATGCAGAAGAAGAAATTTCAACACACTTCAGCAAAAGACAAATGTTTGTCTAGAGTAATTTTTGCTTATTAGTATGGTTGAACTGAATCATCGAAGGTCAGAAGCAAAGACATTGGTTATTAGAATGGGATTAAATACATGAAGGATATTTGTGTTGTTTAACATTTAATTATTGCAGGTTTGCGTCATTCTAAGTTGCATTATTTTTATTCATTTTGAGGAATACTGAATCTGTGTTTTTTTTGTGAGAGAGATGAATTAATGCATATTCATATTCATTTTAGAACTACAGTAACATCTTCTAATTTCTCTCAACATGGGGACAGGAGAGCTGTCAATCAATAAATTGGGAAAAAAAAGTAATGCGTTACTTTACTAGTTACTTGGAAAAAGTAATCTGATTACGTAACTCGCGTTACTTGTAATGCGTTACCCCCAACACTGA